CATATTAATAAAAAAAGATAAAAATAATATAATAACATCGATTCAAAGGTAAAGGACTTAAACTCTGACACCCACTCACATAATAAAATAAAATTAAAAAAAAAAAAAAAAAGAATTAACCAAACCTAAAAAAACCTTAGGGGCACCCAAGTGGCTTGGTTGGTTGAGTGTCCGACTCTTGATTTCAGCTCGGGTCATGATCTCAGGGTCGTCAGATTGAGCCTCCAGGGCCCCTGCCCGGCAGGCTCTGCGCGAAGCGTGTAACCTGCTTAAGAGTCTCTCTCTCCCTCTCCCTCTGCCCCTCCACCCCGCACTCACGCTCTTTTTAAAAAAAAGTTTTTTAATTTTTAAAAACCTTAACTTGGAATAGAATGAACTTTCCTTAATCCAATATAGTGGCTGGTAATAAACAAATACAGCATGCATCATATTTAATGGTGTAAAACTGAAACATTTTTCCAAAAGCAAGACTATTTGTTATTACCAGTTCTAGTCAATATTGTACCGAAGGTCTCAAATCTAGACATGCAGTAAGTCAAGATATAGAAATAGAAAGTATAAGGATTAGAAAGGAAAAAATAAACCCAGTTATTTACATAAGCATGATTGTGTATATGAAAAATAAGAAAGAATATACAGACACACTATTAGCTTTCATATGTAAATTTAGCAAGCTCAGTGGATAAAAGATAAATTGCCAGAAATCTACTAGATTCCTATATAAGAACAACAGCAAAATTAATAATAAAATACAAAAGATACATGAAAAAATTAGGAATAAATGTATCATATGATTTACAAGAATAGAACTAACAGAAAAACATACTATGTTCACATATTGGAAGACATTATTATAAAGACGTTATATCAGCCTGGATACAATCAGGAGAAAGAAACCACACAGTAAGATCTGGGAAAGTTTAATTGAAAGAACTATTTACAGTAACAGTGTATGGTAGTGATGAGGGATTAGCTAGAAGTAAAAAACTAAAAACTATAGTAGAGAGCAGATGTCAGGAATAATCTTACGCTTAGGGTGAAATAGGACACACAGGAAGATGTCCCAGCAGGTGTACGAGCAAGACCTGGTTATGGCCTTGGCTCACTAAATGGCAAAGAAGTACCTCTGGTGCAGCTGTAAAAATGGCTGGAAATTCACCCCCTCGGGTGCTAAGGAAAGCTGCTCAGAGTTGTCTCACTGGAGTCCCTCGGCTGCAAAACCGCCTAAGGGGTAATACGGGGGAACGCGGCGGGCTGCTGGGTGCTGCAGGCAACCATGCACCAAAGGGGCCCGGCGTTGAAATGAATGTGCGTGCGGCAGGAGCGGGACCCTGAAGAAGCCCCACTTTTCAGAACTTGCAGAACCAGGAAGCAGAACGCCTCTCTTGCAATGTCTCTCCAGTGCCCTCTACTGGCAAAACTGAATTTTGAGCCAGCAGGCAAGGAAAAAACATTTAAAGGGACCGTTTCCATTTCAGAAACTCCGCAATAAAGGATAAATTTGGAACTAAGAGGCAATAAACTGATAACTGGAACAGAAGAAGAACAACAAAACTTGGGGACTCACTACTACAAAACTATTGTAAAACCATCATAAACATGACAATGGGTTATTGATGAAAGAGAGACAAACTGACCAATTGAACGGAATAGAGTCCAGAGACAGACCCACACATACATAGTCACCTGATGAGTGACAAACACACACTGAGGTACAGATAAGAAATGGTGCTTTATTCAATAAATGGTTCTGAGTTAACCAGATAGCCTCACAGAAAAGACATTAATTTCGATCCATACTCAAAAATTTCCAGATGAATTGTAAATCTGAATGTGAAAGATAGAACAATCATGCTTTTAGAAGAAAATTATATGAGAACATTTCCAGACTTCGGAGTAGATGAAGCATTCTTAAATAAGACACAAAAAGTGCTAACCATAAAATCTGATAAAGTGAAAAATATTAAAGTGGAGGATTTCTTATCAAATGACACATCATTGGGAATGAAAATACATCCCACAAATTTGGAGAGGAGGTTTTCAATTCTTATATTCAACAGAGAACTCATCTACAGAATATTTCAACACCCACAAATCATATACAGTGATTTTCTATTGAAAGATGGGCATTTCCTGAATGGCCAGTAGGCATATGCAAAAGTACTCAACTTCATCAGTCATCAAGAAAATGAAAATGTAAAACCACAAGGAGATACCACTATTCACCTAAAACGAAAAAGACCCACCACATGTTAGCTAGAATGTGGCACAATGGCAACTTGGGTTGTGGAGCTAGAAATGGGTATGACGACTTTAAAAATCCCCCGGGGACAGTATCAGTGAAAGCTGAGCATATGCATAGCTCATGACCCAGCAATTCTAGCATCTCTGCGTTCTCATCAGCATATTCATCAGAGAACATGCACAAGAATGTTCCTAGCAGCACTGTTTACGATTTCCCAGACTGAAAACTACTTAAATGCCCATTAACAATAGAAAAAGTAGATTAGGGTATATGCACAAAATGGAAGACTGTACAGCACTGAGAACAAAAGAACCATATCAACAACACAGTATACATACATGAATCCCACAGACATAATGGTAAGTGAAAGAAGCCAGATGGAAAAAGAATACATATGGTGTGATTTACCAAATTTCAAGCATAATCAAAACCTACTTGTGGTGTTAAGTATCAGAATAATGGCTGCCCTTGCAGGGATAATGGTTAGAAGCAGGGACAAGGGGAGTATTCTGGGTGCTAGTAATATTCTTATTCTGGATCTGGGTGCGGTTACATATGCGTGTTCAATTTCTGATAATTCATTGAGTTATACACTGGTGATTTATATACTTTTCCGTATGTGTTATGCATCAAATTGCTTTTAAAAGAGAAAAGAAAAGCAAACAAAACCAGAAAAACATGATGACATCAAATTAGTGAATGGGATACAATGAACTCACGATTTAAGTGTGCTGGGTCTATGATAAGAAAAATCTAACTAGCTCTAGTTAGTCTTCATTTGGGATAAATATTCTCTGGCCACAAGGGGGTTCTCTTGCTACACTCCTTTATTTATGATAGCTCATGTTTTCTGGATTCTGTTGGTGTTCTAATGCATTTTACCTATTTATCTTTAAAGAGCTCAACATGGCACATGCTTTTCTGAAAATCTGTAAATGTACAGAATACAATATACAGCATGAAGTTTCTCCACAATTACTCTGAAAATAGTCATCCAACAAGTACTAGAACATGTTTCTCCAAAAACTATTATCTGATCACTAGAAAAATGTATCCAAATTTAATATTTAAACCTACTCCTTGTTATTTCTAACCTCTGTTCTTGCTCTGCTTCTTACAACCAAAAATCTCTGGTTTTGGACACAGTATAAACTTCTACGAAGGTAACTGAGGTATTTTTATCAGCTTCATCCTGTCTCTAATTGCTCTTAAACTGACAGCTAAGTAACACCCACAGATGGCTTTTTTTCTGAGTGTTGTCATGTTTAAACCATTTGTACAATCCACATTGTAGGACTCTGCTAATTCCTACCTTAATCCTATTTGCTTTGTTAAGTGTAGACAATTATTTCAGCCTATTACAATATTTTCATTCTAATTCAGTTATCAAACTAAATTCCACAAATCTTATGTTAGACATAAATGTACTGAATGCCTCAGATCTCGTAATGTGTCTAGCATAAAGTAATAGCTCAATAATATTCATCAATTTGATGAAATAATATACTTAATAACAGAGCAATTTGAATCCAAATAATTGTAAAGTGAATTTATATTTCTCTATCTTGTCCACATATATTTTAAAATATTTATCCTTTTTCTTTTTTTTTCTGAAATCTGTATATCCCACATCTGCAGCATGACCCAGGTCTTTGGATCTAGCAAACCTACTTCACAAAAAGAATTAGGACCTGTTTTTGACTAATTTATGGTGGTACCTGATGATAATTGTGCTTCCTTTATGAGTTTGTTCATTCAGTCATTCAATCATTCATTCACCAAACATATATGGCGTGCCTGCAAAGGGCTAGGCACTTTTCAGAAGCTGAGGATGGGGACCTTGAATATGATATCGTTCCTACCTTCAAAGACCCTTATTTTCAGTGGGATAAAAATGGAAAATAAATAAGCGAACAAATAAATTAGTAAGTTAATATCACATTGCAATATGTTCTGATAAGCTAATAAAACCAAGCTTGGGGCAGTAGAGAGTACAGGGAGAAAAGACACTTTCGATAGGGTGGTCAGGGAAGACCTCTTTGAAAAAAGATCATTTGAATATGTTAAGGAAAAAAAAGAAGAAGAAGATAGCAGGAGGGGAAGAATGAAGGGGGGGAAATCGGAGGGGTAGACGAACTATGAGAGATGATG